AGGCAAGGACAAAGGATATGAGTAAAAAAGTATGCAGGTTAGTGCTGTCACATAGACAAACTCTCAGAGTAAGGTTGCCCTGACATTCTTCCTTGTGTCTTTCTTTAAGTGGTCATATTCAGTCTCATATATAAAAAGGCTCCGCAGTAACAAGGAAGAGTATACATAAAGGAACTGTCTTAGGAATACAGATCATAGAACATACTTGTCCAGTTCTCTGTTGGGTACTAGCCAGATCTATTTGATGAATCCGCTTCCTGATATAATAGCTTTGATTCTCTTTATTCGTGTTCCTAATTAATTCTTGTGATAACCCAGGACTCCTATGTTGCTATCTATTGGTTTCCGCCAGGAGGATCTAAAAGAATCTTTCTGTAATAGGGCACGAAAAAAGCCCTCAAAAAAGATGACTTTCAGCCTCAAATCAAAGCCCTACTTCCATGCTCTCACTTCAACAGAAGGCTGGGCAAACTGCCCGTACAACATTTCCTACACACTGGAAATGCCTCCTTAAAAAGGAGAACAGGTGGTCTGGTTTATCTGAGTTATCAATACTACAATGCCATATAAAAGCACTGGAATTATTTTTACATAAAATGCTAAAAATACTCCTGGAACATAAAAATCTCCCTTCATATTATAGAATTTAACTATTGTGTCAAAACTTTTGCTTTACACAAAATACTATTTTGCTGATGATGCCAGGATAAATGCGCAAAAATCACTTCTAGGTAGAGAAAGTGCTTTGCCAGTTGCAACTCCCTACCAACTAACAGCCAGCTAGATTTACGTAACTGATTTTTCTTAAGAGAAAACTACAATGTTTAATTTCTCATCATTTATCTCTAGGCTATTCAGTTTACAATATCTGGGAAATGCTTTTAAGTATTGTTTGAGACCAATTCTGGAACCTAGACAAAAGTGCTGGAAATTTGCAAAATGTCATTGGACTGAAACTTCCACAACCCTGGCCAGTACAGCTAGTGCTGAAGGTTACCAGGCATTGCAGTCCAAGAACGCCCAAGTTACTTGAGGTTGAAAACCAATGTTGTAGACCATTTTGACTGTTGCCATCGGTATCATCAAAGTTCAGGCTACCCTTTGTTATGTAATGTTTGTTATCAATTTTTTTTCTGCTGGCAACGTGGGCACAATATTGTGCATCAGTATTAGACAATATCCCACATTCATAAGTCACAGTTTAAGATTTGAATTTCCTTATATTGTTTTAAAAAGCTTTAAGTACACATACACTACGCACAAATTAGAATATAAACTTCCCTCATGAAGAATTACCTAGTGCTAGAGGATCAAAGAAGATAGTTACTATCTAAGATAGCAGTACGATAGTTGTTGGGATAAGACTACAGAAATAAAAACAGTTGAGAAGTGGCTGTAGTCCCTTTGTGTCCGAAAGTCTGAAGGGCTGTTCTGGACTTAATGAGATTGTGATGCAAAGGTGTGAGGATATGCCACACATACAATGGAGAAACATACACACCCTTTAACATCTCAGGTAAATTAATGTTGCTGTGCTGCTTCACAGAATGCAGACTAGTAAGCTATCTTTCAGTTTTCTTGGGGTAGGCAACCTGAAGAAAATAAGCTATATCAGACCAAAAGTGCTATGAACATGTTGTATGCATGTTTTCCAACACCACAAATAACCAGAAAAATAGAAAAGTGAGTGCTCAATCAAGTGAAGCCTGAACAAAACTGAGTAAACCAAGGTTATCCTACCATGCACATATTATAAAAATGAGAATTGACCAAAAAATACAGTATTGCTGGAGGGGAAAAGGAGTGGCAATAGCAAGAGAGGGAGACCCAGCATGAGATGGATTATCTCAATAAAGGAAGCCACCACTGTTTGCAAAATCTGAGAAGAACTTACTGGAAAAGACAATAGTGTTTGGAAGGGGAGTCTGTAGGAAGAGAGAACAACCAAATATGAGATGCTGTTAGTTTGCAAGATCAGAGCACAGCTATTAAAGATAGCACATTCTGGAAGTCATTAACTCATATAGCCACCACACATCAGGAGTAACTTGACAACATATAACATCTTTGGGAGTTTTTTTCCCTTAATTACCAAACAATTCTATAGTGAGAAGATAATTGAACAGTTGAGACTATGAGGGGATATAGAAACCAAAGCTCTACTAACACTGAGTAAGACCATCTCTAGCCCCAAAGCAAAACCAAACCAAAAGTAATTTCACCGCTTAAATGAGTGAGCTTCTGAATATTTGTTCTCTATTCCTTTTAAATATATTTAAAAATATTTTTACTACTGGACACATAATACCTTTGCAAGCAGAAATCCCTGTATGGCCAGGAAGAAGTTAAAGTTTAATAGGGTCCTGATTGACAGGTTCAAAAGTTCATATTGCCCTAGACCTAGAGCTGATTTCCCCTTTGAAAACTTGTGTCAGGAGATTGGTCTAAAAAGCCCTAAGACAATGTTTACTGAAAGTACTCAGGGCTGGGAAAAATACAACTGCTCTATGATTTTGTTATGCAGACATACCCTGAATATGCCTTACAAAATTGCATTCTAATTCACTAGAGATACATGGCAAAGTGTCTTGCTTTCTGGAGGATTGTCATTCCATTACTTTCTTTAAAGCAAACCCATTTTTAAAAAAATTCTTCCATAATAGCCATGAGCTTTTGTTGACCTGGAATTCTCCCTTGGCCATACATGTTATCATTTGCCTAGCAAGCCTGTACCACACATACTCAACTTTATAACCAAGACACTGTTTTTCCCATTTGAAATACTTCTTTTGAGAATCAATACTTCAGTCCCTGCAGCCTGGATTCTTTCCAAATTTTTTTAAAAAATGTGCAGCCAACCATTCTTTTTCAAGTTAAGCAGGATTTATCTTTTCAATTTACATGAGCTATTTTAAATCTAAGGATGTTTGGGGTTGCCTACATCTGAACAGGGAGAAAACAGTTTTACTTTTAAAATAAATTGTAACTTGAAAACATTTTGTCCAAACTTCTCCATTTCTGGCAAAGTGCAAGGACAGACTGTCTGCTACACCTGTGCCAAATTTGGTGCTCATCTGATTTTTACAATTACCGACATTTTTATAATTGCTTTGTAGAATGCTGATTTGCTGTGCTGCACAATAACATAATTAATGCAATTGGCAGGCAGCATAAAATACTATGTCAAATAATGGAGAAAGTTGCATGTGCATTCTAAAACCCTATGCCCTGGAATCAGCTTATAAATATGCTTTAACATATATTATTTTAGCAATATTTCATATATACCCATAATTTGTATACTGGATGTTTATCCAGTTGATTTTCAAACATTAATTGGATTTCATGGATGATTTAGGCAGGAAGGAAATAAAATAAGCAATGCTTCAGCTAAAATGCTTCAATTGTAAAACATCGCCTTGTAATTTCACAGAAGTCTAAAGTATTTACTCAGAGCAAACTGACTACAGCATAAGCTAGAAATCTTGCCAAACAGCCTCAGGACCTGCGTCCGTTGTTCTCTCTTTAGGTCCCCCTCTGCCTTATGCTCACTGTCCTCTGTGGCAGCAAAGGACAGTGGGATTCAGGGGGAGGACAGAGAGTTATAGCCTAGTTGAAAAAACATCACCATCTAAGGCTAGATTGCTACACATCCACCAATGCCAGATCTCCAATGCTCAACGATCAGATTCTATCTGTAACACAATCTGATTTCCACATTCAAAGAAAAACTAGCCTCCCGTTGTGCTCATGAAGTTGGAAGAATAAAAGACATTGTTCCAAGAAGATAAATGCAAATTTATATCAGAAGCAAACCCTCTTTCCAACTAGGACCACCCCATCCAATGTCCAAAAAAAAAAAAAAAAAAAAAAAATCACCCCATCCAATGTCCAAAAAAACACACAAAAAAACAGATTCACTTCCAATTGTGTTCAAATGCACTCACAAGCTGCCGTTTTAGTTTGCACAGGTGTTCATACACCAAAATAAGGTACAGTGTGAATTTTGAAAGAACAATACATTCACTGACACTTCTTTTTCACAATTGGTCATTTCAAATAGGTAAGGACAGCTTGCAGAAGCCAAGGAGATGCTACAAATGGACCCAAGGGTCTCTGGCACTATACTATTTCTCCACTGTCAGCAAATAAAGCAGTGATAAACCTTAGCACAGCCTCCCATAAAATATTCCCTAGAGTGACCACATTTCGTGCACTAAAAATCATTAATCAATTGATTTAAAAGTGGTCCTTCAAATCAGCTTTATTCTTTCCTTTTTAAAACTAAAAATGTCATCCTTCTATTGTATAGAATATAAGAGAAAGAGAACTACATGAAAAATAACTATCCTGAGCTTGACCCAGACAAACCTGAGTCATATTTAGAATGGTAACAAGATGGACTTAATTTTAATGGGTCTATTCAAAACATGACTGAGTCTAGATCCAACTTACAGTGCCAATGAAAAAATACATTAGAAACTGGAAACAGTTTTACTTCACGCTTACAAAAACTGTTATTCGTAATTTGGTAATTATTTAGTATGCAACAAAATAATTTTATTTAGTAAGCTACATGACTAATTGGAGGTTTTTAAAAAGAGTTCTATACCTTCCTTCCTATAGAGAAGGTATCTGGGTGCCATTTATAGTAATTGATTGTACAGATATTATGTGATTTCTTTGAATCTTTAGAGAATGGCCACAATCCACTACACAATACAGTATGTGCACTATGTGCTGTCAAATAGATTCTAACCTATGATGAACCTGGTAGGGTTTGAGATAAGTGGGGTGTTTAAGGAGTGGTTTTACCAGCCCCACCCTTCAGAGAATTTCCATCAGCAAGCACAGATTTGATCCCAGAGTCCTAGTCCAATATATCTCCACTACACCATACAGAACAGTTGCATGTTATTGGCTGAAGAGGTAAAGAGTACTCAGAAGTGCTTTATCTTCACTTCTTCTGGAGGCAGAATGGAACTGTGCAGCTTGCCCAAGGCCACACAGGCTGGCTCTTCTGGAATGCACAGCGGGGCACTGAACTCCTTGCCTCTGGTTCCACAGCCAGATACTCAACTCATTATTCTCCAGCATTTATAATTTACAAATCTTGTTAATTTCACTTGCCCACAGTATGTGGCTTAAGTCCAGTCTTCCAGCGCATAACAGTGTTCGATGTTGACCACTCTTGTTAGTTTACAGCACCATCCTACAATTATCTACTCAGAGGTAACTGCCACTGATTTCAAAAGTTTTTAATCCTCTGTGAGTAAGTGTAAGATTGCAACTATTACTCTGAGATCCATTTTGTTGTAATGTTCTCATCTTGCAACTTCCACCTATAATTCTTTACATGTGAACAAGTCTTCACATATTGATATTTGATTACCTAAAATTAGTTTCTTAGCAAAATCTTGGGACTATGTAGGATGTGTGCTAAAATAAGCCACTCTCACTAAGAAAAATAATGTAGAAAAATAATTCAAACATCTAAACATTTAACCTCTGAGACCCCAATTACCCCACTTCTTTGAATTTCCTGTCATATCCAGCTTTGTACATACATAGGCATACAGCAAACACCCCAAATTTATGACTTCTTTAACATGACTAATACAATGTAAACAACTCCCTTAATTCACATTACATTGGATATTGAATTGAAATTTCCCTGATCTTGTATTTATTAATTCCCAGAGTGGCGTTGTTATAAAAATGGAGCAATATCTGAAAAAAACAGTGCACTGGCTTTGTCATTTACTTTCAGTTACAAAAACACCCACTTCTTGAGAGAGTTCTAAATGTGCAGCTTTGTATTTGCAGTAGGAAAAGTCCTACAATTTGGTCTTCTTTAAAATCTGAACTCACCACATAAACCTCTGTATTTCTTCACTATTTGGCCACTGAAATGGTTTGTTCAAAAATAAATGGAAAGTTATGACATTCACCAAAGCATAGAAAGCCAATTCAAGGAAAAGTTTCCAAGGTGATGGCATAGAAATATTCAATCTAAATATGATATATGGCAAAATGAAATAACGAAATTCTAGCAGCTTTTGAGGAACCGTGGCTGCAAGTAAACATACAAAATATACCAAGTTCCAGAAAACAGATTTTGCCTTCAATGCATCCATCAAACTCCAGCCAGCAAATATATAGATTGGAACTAATATATACTTCACAAGCTCATGTCTCTGGAAGATTTTTCTCCACACATAAAATGGGTAATGTCTGTTATCTGCAAGCAAATACTTATGAGTGTACGTAAACTTCCAAACGAGGAACAAAGAGACAATGGTGACAATGCTATATTGCAACAAGTGTGTCCTCACAGAACGAAGAAAACTGACAACTTTGTTTGGGGTCACCATGTGAGGAAATGAAAAAAAGAGAACAAAAGAAAAGAAATAGAAGAGCTGAGGGAAATGCAGGCAGGCTTCATGGCTGCTTCTGTCACCAACAACTATGCCACCATTGAGGGCCACAAAAGTAACGAACACCACCACCATAGTGATGTATGGCCACGTCAGAAGAACAAGAGTGCTGAGGTTTTTAAGCGATGTGAGGTACTCCAGAAGAAATTTGAAGACTCTGATTAGTTCTGCAAAGGATCCCTTTGGGGGTAAGCTCTTCTGGTCCTTCTTTTTCGACAATTCCATTTTCCATGCCTCATTTAGTTTTTGAGCAATAACACTTCCACCGCAGAAGACAGTCCATACAATGTTTATCTGCCGAAACATAAAGCCGCAGAATCCAAGCAGTGCTGAAGTTTTATGATTGCCATAAAGGCACATTAAATATGCAAAGAGAGTAAAAAATGCCGACCCTGTATCGGTATAATAAAGGAATGTGAAAAAATAAAGAACTGGCAATATTGTTATGGTCAAGGTTGATAAGATTCTCTGGAACCCCGAGGCAGCCTAGAAAAAATGGGGGAAAAAAGAGAGATAAAGAGAAATCAGGGCTATTTCTTCCATTTAAGATTAAAAACCACATGGGGAAACTCCACCAGGAACTTCACTCATGCAAATCCCATGAAAACCAAAAGGAAGAGAAAAAAAGACATTTCCAATCGTTTGTGGCAAACTATTTTAATTAGGCTATTTCTAAAACTTCTTATGCTTAACAACAGAGCTGCAAAATATCAACTTAATTTGCACATGAACAAAGACAACAGGCTAATTCAATGTTAGCTCTGCCTAGAGTGCAACTGGCTGGGGGGGCCCTCAAAAATACCACTGGAGGGCAGATTTGGCCCAATATTTTTTGACACAGAAAGACTCTTCCTTGGTTTACAGGGGATGCAAACATTTGATATAGCAGGCATCATTTTAAATAAGGCATCCTGTCTTTTCTCCCACACAGAGGGGCTGCCTCTTCTAAGATGATGCTTGCCATCAATAAATATGTGAGACAGGTATTAAGAACCACATGTTTGTGCACTGGATTTGACCCATAACAAATTAATATAAAGCCCATTTGTTCTCATTTTCAATCTGGATCCCATGCAGTAAGTACAATCTGTTCTTTTATCTCCAGCTTTCTGTGTTTCTTTACATGGGTAGAGGAAAGAAATTGCACCGAAAGAGGGAAGAATGAGCATGGATGGTGTGAAGGAGAAAAGGAAAATGATGTGAAAAGATGAACAGAAGGTGGATAGATGGGGGAAGAAAAGGAGAAAGAGACAGAAGGGTGGGAGGGCGGGACTAGAAATATAGATATAAGGAGAGATGGCGGTAAGGTAACAAATCATAGCTGCAGGAGGGATATTGTGCAGCAGATCAAATTAACACTCTATAATGTAATTATGAAAATAGGGTAAGCCCCCAAAAATGTAACTTTTAAACGGCTTACTGATTGATGCCAAATTGTAGCAGACATTTTGCTCTTGTTCTGTGCCAAATCTGAGGAAGTTTGGGGAAGCCTGGACAAATGGGTTTTTGAGTTATGATTTTTTTAAAGTAAAACTATACCCACCCCCAGTTCAGAAATAGGATATCCCCAAGCTGCCTCAGATTTGAAATAGCTCACATAAATTGAAAAGCCCCACCTGCTTTTATTTGGAAAGAATACAGGATGTGGGGGATGAAATGCTAGTCCTCAAAAAAGGTCTCTCAAATGGGAGAGACAGAGATGTATTCTCCCAGTGAACATGCATGGTACAGGCTTGCCAGGGAGAACAGCTTAGGCAAAGGCTACAGTTGGGGAGGGAGCTATCTGGAGAGCTGCAGAGTAACTAAGAATGGTCACAAGTTATATGAAAAGGAACTGGAGGAGTTTTAAAAAACAGGTTTGTTTTAAAGAAAGTAAAGGAGTAATGGTTCTACAGAAAAGGAGACATTTTGCCATATATCTGCAGATAATTAGCATACAATGTTATAAGGCATATTCAAAGTATTTCCATACATGATACAAAAGTACCCAGCATTAATTCAACCAGTTGTGTTTATCTTAGCCCAAAATGCTTTCAGCAAATATTGTCTTAGGATTCCTCTGCTCTGCGACAATCTGAACTTTGAACCTACTAGGACCCAATTGGCTGACTGTCAGGGGGATAACTTTTAAACTCCTTCCTGGTTAACAGGCTATTTGGGATTCATGCTTGCAATGGGATTCTGTGTCTAGTTATAAAAAGACAGACACAGATATTAAAGAAATGTAGCAGTATCAGACCATTTCCTGGCATTTTAAATCATGGACAGAGAAGCACAACATCCCACATTCAAACCTGGAGGACTTTAAAATAATTTATTTGTCCTGTATGTGAAAGAAACAGTAGGGTGAAGGACAGAGCTAAAGGGGGGTCAGAAAGGACTGCTCTTGCTCCTTTGAGTGATAGTTCTATACATTTTTGGTATTCACCTCACTGACAACAGTCCTGGCCATTGTCTCCTAGCAGTACTTGCCCCTAAGCCAGAGTTTCAAGCAGCACCATGCCCCAATGTAAAACATCACAACATTAGCTACCAGCATTTCTGACCAAAAGATCCATATAGATTTACCAGACAATGTACTATGTTTTATTACAGCACAGTCAATGAAATCATTATTTCTAGTAGTTACAAATGGTATGTTGAACATGAGTGCAATACATTTGCTACTAGTTTTAGAAACATAGGAGAGCAACATGATCTAATATGCCAGGAAGATTCAAATGTTTCTGGGAAATCAGAATAGAATCTGTCAGAGAAACGTGGAGAGATTTATCCAAATGTTGATGTCTTGATGGTACTACTGTGTATAGGAACACTTTAAGTATAATGAACTTGTACTGTACCTTTTTATGATGATTTCTGCAAAAAAGCAGATACAGTAAATAGAAGTTCCCAAGACTGAAAAGAAGATTAATAAATCTGAGCATTCCTGTAGAGCAGACCACACTTCCAGACCACCCAAACAGCCATGCTGCAGGCTTCACAATTCCAACTGATACCAAGTACAAACCAGGCAATGTAGTAATCATTGGATCCCACTGTCAGAAAAAGAAAAGCCGGGGAGGGGGGAGAATAAAAAAGTAAAGACAAATATGATTTTGATTAGAAAGAAAGCAAAAGTAATGAACTTAATTAACCTCCTGTTTATTAGTCCTCTAAATCAGCCATTCTCAACCTTTTTTTTTAAACCACAGCCTTTTTAGGAGCTCTTCTCAGGTTCCACCTCCATCCCCCAGCAAACAAGGATAAAACACAAACAGATAACATGCAGAAACTTCTCACATTTTTCAGTCTGTGTCCCCCTTCAAAAGTGCCAGGTCCATATGCCCCCCCCGAGAATGGCTGCTCTAAATCATCATAAACCAAGGTTTGTGCTTTTTCCTGTACAAATTTTTAAGTAGTCCAAATATGTGTGAGATTAGACATCACAGTAGAGATGTGGGAGATCTCAGTTCACACCAGAGTGGATTTGATTTATATCAGTTCGATTTAAATCATGATTTAAATCACTTAAGAGTGAATAAAAATCATTTTTTAAAAAAATAAAAACACAATTTACATTTTAAGAATTCAATTTTAAAAAATATATCATTGATTTTATCCAGCCTTGCAGTGATTTAAACTGTGGTTTTAATCATGATTTAAACTGTTTGTTGTTGTTGTTGTTGTTGTTGTTGTTGTTGTTGTTGTTGTTGTTTTGAAAATCAAATCCACCTTGGTTCACTCATAATAGTGGAAGCATCGCAGAAGACATACACATCACTCATAACTTCTCTTGCTGCTTGCTACCTGGATGTGCAATCTCCCCAAGTCATTTTCAACATTTTATTTAGACAGATCACATGTCTATTGATTGTTGACAAGTTCTTCAATATCCTGTACAATAATTTAAAAAAACAGCAGCACCGTGTCATGTCCTGCTACTATTAATATATGCCTTAGGATGAGGGCAAAAATTCCAGAAATTTCAAGTGTTTCTGTACTCATGCAAATCCTTTCTCTAGAGATTATTTTCATCAGTGGATCCCTTTGAGGAGCTGTTCATTTTGTCTTTGAATTATTCAAAGCAGTACAATATTCTGCAAAAAGTTAGTATGTAGCTAAGAAGCAAATACCTTTATTTCCATATTGTTTGTGGAGAGGAAATCCCTTCTTTTACAGTCAGCATGAAAACACTGCTGCTATACGAACACAGGAAATTGGATAAGCTAGTTGAGTGGAAGTGTGCAGGACACCCTGAAGGTTTCCCTGCTTCTGTTTCTTCCCTCAACAGATTATTTTGGGTTGCCCTGGGAACCTTCCCTCTGCTTATAAATACTAGGTAGTCCCTAACAGCAGTGGTCCCCAACCTTGGGCCTCCAGATGTTCTTGGCCTTCAACTCCCA